ACCACCACCACCACCACCACCACCACCACCACCACCACCCCCACCCGAACAAGAAGCAAAACAAGAAAAAGAAACTAGAGCTGCCAAAACACGCATTCAGTAAATGTACATCCAAAAGCTGTTCAATGTCAAACTATCTGCCTGGAACACAGCATTGCAAGAATGACTCCAGTTCTTTTAGGATACGAAAACACGCAGTGTTTAAAGCTCTGTCAGATCTTTCATACAGTGAAATTGCTTGCAAGCACTGCGGTTCACCATTTTTTGCGGAGGCGGCCTCGTGGACTCCGGGTCTTCGGTTTGCTTTGTAGTCCACGAACCCACCCGGAGTGCACAAGAAGGGATTTGAAGCACGCTTCAGTCAGCTGATTCTTCACGCCTCCTGGCAAAGCACTGCACCAAAGATGGCAACTTACTTTAGTTTTTCTTGCATCGACACCGCAATTGGACACAAGTCCGGTCAGCTGCCCAAAAGCAACTGAAATGTATATAAGGAATAGAAAACAAGAAAGCAATTCACATCGGAGTGCATTGAAACAAAGACCGAATAATTCCACCAAACCAACCAGTGATTCAACACCGAACGCTTTGGAAAGCGAGAAATTTCCTGGAAGTTATTTCAGTGCTATTTATCAGCAACCAAGCACTGCTGCGAAGTTGCACACGACATCATCGTGAGTAAATGCATCTGATTAATCTATTGTTTCTTTTGACTATCGAATCGACGGTTGCATTTTCCAAAGCGACCTCAACGACACTGTGGTCAACAGTCCCGCATGTACAAAAAAGATCAAAAACAAATTATAAACAAGATCTTTTACTGTACTATAGACAAAATCAAAACGAGTTCTTGTTACTAAAGATCAAAACGAGTTATAGACAAGATCAAAACGAGTTCTAACTATGGTTGTCTTGTACTTATAGAACACAAAACAAGAAAACGGTGACTGTCAAGTCGACCTTGCAGAGCAGTCCGCGACTACAAACAAAACTGACGGAACTCCGCAGCTATGGGTGCTATGTGGCGTAAAACACGTGAGTTGTGAGTGGCATGAAACAAGAAAACAAAAACTCGTCGACGTCTCATGTCAAAGGTCTGGCAGTCTGTACTGATCGTGGAAAAACGTTGCAACAAAAAAATAGACATTGCTAAGCAATGCTAAACACATTTTCCAAAAGAGATAACCTTAAATTGTCCCGTGCAGCAGACGCTAGTCGCCTGAGGAAACTTTAGGGCCAACTGCCAAATCCAACAGCTGTAGGACCCAAGCGCACGATCTGCTCAAAAAACTCGCCTTGCGACTGATCATCACCCAAAATCAAAAGATAAACGCACAACCCTACTACCGAACATGATAGTGGAAACATGTGAAGCACCTGATAGTGTGCCACATCGGTACTGTTTGCAATGAACGTTGAGGGTCACCCTCTTGGAACCCAAATATTGGCCTTCACATCAGTTCGCACTCCATTGCCGCACTATTTGTTGGTATTTTCCCCAATACCGATAGCGACTGGGCACCGTACACTCTTCAGGCGACTGGACACCGTCGGATCCACGGCCTCCGGCCTCCGGGCTGGGCAGTGGTGTCCCGGTGGCTCGGTCATGTTTTGGCCTTGTCTCGGTGATGTTTAGGTGGTGTCTCGCACCATGTGTTGGTGGTATATTGGTTGTGGTCATGCTGAGGTATCTTGCTCATGTTTGCGTGGTGTGCTGGTGATGTTTTGGTGGTGTGTTTGTCTTGTTTTGCTGATTTGGTGGTGTATTGGCTCCGTTTTGGTGGTGTCTCGCTTATGTAGTAGTTTTGTCTCGGGCTCAGTCGCACTTTGCGTCGAACTGCGCGCGAAGCGATGTCCATAGGTCTGGTGCACATTGCGTTCTGGCGCTCAAAAAGTTTGCTGGGCGTGTAACAAAATTGGTTCGCTTGAGAGGAGTTTCCTTGTATTGTTTGTATAATAAATATGAGTTGGCGAGTCACAGCATGTTCCGCGTGTCCAAACGCGTGCCTTCTGTTGCGCTGTTATATGACTGCATTGATCCCCTGTCGTCCTCATATGATATCCTTCGAAACCTCTCATTCTTTGTCTTTGTGGAGACTGCGCGCCCCCATGTCAAAAGAACTAGTGTGTTTGGTGCGTGGTTGTGTATGTTTTCCGCTGGCACTTTATGTCTTTTGACGAGTATTTCTTTTCGAATGCAAACATGGTGCACGTATACTTGAACATAAACTTTGGCCATCGGCGAACATTCCTTAAGTGTTTCATGGTAATGGTCTATGAAATTACATGTTGGTTGGGTAGTGAACTTGTTTTTGGAACTTGTTGCCTAAGTCCAAATCTTGTGATTGCATTTCAAAACATTTGAAGTTGGTGGGAAGTTCTTTAGACATGTAAACAACTGCTTGCTTGACACTGCGTGTTGTGTGCCGTCCGTGTATGAGTCATGCATTGACACATGTACATACATTCATTGTTTTGATGTATATTGCGTGCTTACTGTCGGAAAAAATCATGGTTGATTGTATTATGCGCTTGGTTTGCATGCTTTTGTATAGAATCTGCGCCTGCGCGCTTTGGCTGGTGATCACTTTACAGTTTACAGTATGTCCTCTTTGATTGCTGCATTCATTGCACCTTTCGTGTGTAAATTACGCGTTCATCCTTCAATACATGTTCCTCTCCATTGGTGTTAACATATTGCTGTCATTATCCTTATATCCGTCTTTGTCAGGAGTCGCGCGACCATACGCAGGCACTTGAACAAACAATTTGGCTATTGGCAAACATTCCTTAAGTGATTAGTGCTCAATGGAACATACAACCTGCTTGGATATGGAGCTTGTCTGTGTAACTTTGTGTCAAAACGTTGCGATTGCATTTCCAAATGTTTTGGTGATGGTGGGTTTTATCCACATGCAAGAACTGTTGCTTGACACTGCCTTTCTTGTATCATTCGTTACATCCACCGGAGACATATTTTTCTGCTTACTTTATTTTAGAGGGCTCCTGCTTCTCCTTGGATACCGACCTACGACGTCGAATACCGACCTACGACGTCGAAGATCCATCGCATGATTCCCTCACTTCAGGCGTGAGATCTGAGGGCGGCCAATCTAAAAGTCTTGGGCTCATAACCCTTGTGACGCACAACTTTTCTTGAGTCGAATATGTGTATGTCGTTTTGGCAAGGGGTTCATCAACGTTACAATGTACTCAAACCGTACACTTCTCGATTTTTGCTGGAGCAGAATCACATGAACGCAAATACCATCCTCTGCACAACCACGCCTTCTCCAGCAGTTATGTACAAGTCATCGAGACCTTGGAACGGCTCTTCTGTCGGCACGGGGTTTTGCAATTGGAACGGAACGCAAAAAAGGACTGTGACTGCCGTAAAATTGAGTGAAACTACTCCGGCACCTCTGCAGGCAAAGCAGATATGATCCTGTTAAGTGTCTGAAATGCCTTCCATTTCCCCACCAGCACACAGAGTTGTGTGATCATTAGTTCTCGGGTCCGTCCTTCTATCCAACTGTACAAAGCGACTAGCGACTCATGGTCACTATGCTTCTGGAGGCCGCACTAGAGGGGTCAAAGGCATTCTTCTGATGCCCTTGCATGCTCAGAAAAGGATTGCCTCAACGGACATCTAGGTCTCCACGGCATACCATCTGAATGAACTCTTCGACTGGGCCCGAAGGCTTTGGAGATCCAAAGGCTGGACTGTACGGAGACGAGACCTCAAGGCCCATGTTCCTGCGAACTTGTTCTTGCGCCATATGGCAGTTCCACTCCTGCATGTCGTAGTTGTCTTTGGTGAGGATCTTCATCACCCTTGCCATCTCCTCAACCACGGTCGACACGGTCCAACACTGGCCATTCCTCCAGTCTGGCTCCGCGCCAAGCGCTTGCTTTGTCCACTCCAGCCTCGCAGGAGCTCCAGCTTCGCGAACAGCTGTCAGGGAAACTGTGCCACCATTGCCTGAAAGAAAAGGAACACGTGGTAGAGAAGGGAATCACTACCTAAAAAGGACAGTGCCCTCCTTCCAACAACCACAAAGTAACAAGACGGCTCTGACGATTTCTAGGTGCTGTGTGATAGCTGATATATAGATTGCTAGTTGAGAACGATATCAACTGAGTTTGCGCTGACTTTGTTGCTGAGAAGCGCTGTTAGGCACTTGGCTGTCTGCAGGAGCTATATGACACAAAGGTCACTCCACAGATTCGCAAAGGAAACGGGTTCATTTGGTACTTACTGTTTCTTGCTTTTGGCTCCTGTCACCTGTCTTTTAAAGGAAAAGGAAAGGGAAAGCGAAAAGGAAAGGGAAAAGGAAAAGAGAAAAAAAAAGGAAAAGAAAAGTCAAAAAGGAAAAGTGAAAAAGTACAAAACAAAAGGAAAAGGGACAAGGGAAAGGAAAAGTGAGAAAGGCAAAACAAAAGGAAAAGGGAAAAGGGAAAAGGGGAGGGAAAAGGAAAAGGAAAAAGGAAAAGTAAAAGGAAATGGAAAAGAAAAAAGCAAAAGGAAAAGAAAGGGACAGGTTAAGAGAAAGGATAAGGAAAAGGAAAAGGGAAGGCGAAGGGAAAAGGAAAAGGAACAAAGGTAGACTAACATTTTGGAGAAATGACGCTTTAGATTTTGCAGTATCTGCCGCAGATAAGTTGTTTTGATTTTAACATGTGCTGGTGTTGACTGATTTTGAAATCATTGTGTTGGGGATTTGCTGGTCTTTGCAGCACATACGTAAGCGTTTTTGAGTTTCCAGTCATAATTTCATTTGGGAACCTGACATGCCTGCATGTCCAGCAAATTGGAAGCTTTGGCGGCAGGTGTTCTTGAACTTTTTGCTAATTGACAACACGAAAGTTCACATTTGGTTGTGTTCACAGGAAATGTCATGCTTTGAGTTTCAGATTCACTGCGATCAACTTGGAAGATTAGCTTGGAAGCTTTAAGTTGCGGATCTTAAGATTTTTCTAAAAGCCAACAATGCCAGCCACACCAAAGGCCAACAAAAGCCCTTTTGGCTGCTGTCTTATAAAGGAAAGGGAAAGGGAAAGGGAAAAGCTGGGGCCTCTGCAGGGTGCAAATGCAATAACAAAACTAAAGCCATGAAAAGGCAACAATGCCAACCACGCCAAAGGCAACAAAAGCCAAAAGCCTGAGAAAACCTTGGAAATCCTTGTCTTCTCAACAAAATGCAAAAATGAAAAGTTTTCTTCAGAACACATACGTCAGAAAAAACTTTGAACATTCTTTGGTTTTCTAAAGAAAGATAAGAAAAACTTGGGACATCTTGTGATTTTCTTAAAGCTACCAAAAGCCAAAAGCTACCAAAAGCCAAAAACTACCAAAAAACAAAAGCCACCAAAAGCCACAAGCCAGCAAGAGCCAAAAGCCACCGAAAAGAGTATATACATTAATTCCAAAATAAGACATCCAAAAGAAAATTACCCTCCAAGGGAAAACGTATGCGAACTCAAATAGGCTGTGACTCAATTCAAGGGTGCCCCAAGGAACAACTCAGAAAGAGGATGGAATTTCAATGAATTGAATTTAGATGCTGCGCAGCGTGATTCTCGTTGGCTCATACACACAAAGAGAGCTGAGGCCCTTGCCTTTGACGGGCCGCCAATGAATCTCGCCATCTTCGTGGTTGCCGGCTCGCATGTACTCCACGATCCAGTAGTCGCTGACGCTGCCACGGTCACGTGGGCCAGCAGATAAAAGCAAAGCTGAATGGGCAAACATGGCAACTTTCGGCACACAAATTGGAATCGGACCTGGTGTGCACACATCAAGTGCACGACGAATCACAAAGACCCGCTGCACAAACTCATTGGAGATGCCATTCATGATGCTAGCAATCCTGTCAGCCAGGGACGCACCAGGTCCAATCTGGCCCTTGATCGGCGACGATGCTGCAACGCCGTTCTTGACCAAAGTGGGCAATCTTGGCGGGTGGAGGAGGAGGAATGCGCTCGAATTGAGGGCTGCCTGAGAGTACGTAGCCGAAGCATGCGCAGTCAGCGCCACAAAACCGGCCAAGAGCTTCAAAGCCATTACAGGCTCACTTCCAGCCAAATATCCGGAACCTATCGTCGCGAGGCTTGAGCAAATGCTGGGTTAGATCATTCCTCTGTGCTCTTCCAACTGGCAAGCTCAAGGTGAACGACCTGCAAAGCTGGTGAGGTCTTCATTCATGAGCTGATCTTCAGAGCCTTTGGTCCAGGTGTGTCCAAGGACCTGTTGCTCGTTGACATCTGGGCATCCCTGCGGACCCAAACTATGTCGAGTAAGACCAAGCAGGAACAGACCTTTTGTCTGCGCAAAACCGGAATCCTACTGCTACAACAGTCCTTCACCGTTGACAAGAATGTCTGCCAAGAGTTGACTCAAACGCCACTCGTTGGTTGTAAAGGGCGTCTGAATGTTCATTCATGAACAAGAATAGTTTCCCTGAATTCTTCATCAGTATCTTCATGGGTGGCCTTCACGCACGACCTTGTTTGCTCCATCTTCGACAAACACCTTGCCGTTGCAAATGATGCCGCTACACTTAGGCTTGCATCACCAACTGACCCCGAAAAATGCAGAAAGTAAAGGCACAATTCAGTTTCTGGGGTCTACTCACACGCGTCTCCGTCTGTCCCTCCATACCGTGTAGATATCTCACTTCGTTCACAAAAACTAACTACAGCCTCTTGTAAATTTCCGCCGCATCTTTCCCATCAGGTATACCATGGAATTCTACTTTTTGCAAGCTGGGCACTCCAACCTTGAAGCACAAAGTTCGCTTCGGTGCTTGCAACCCTCGCCTAGGGGCCTATTGGATCATGTCAGAACAAATTGCGTGGTTCCTTGAGACCTGCCCGCCACGACTACTTCATCCCAGTTTTCCTAAACAGACCCAGGCACCCAAAGTTCTCGACCCTTTGCCTCCTTCACCCGACTCCAGCACAACTACCTGTACCTCAAGTCTCCACTCCTCTCATATTGTAGCAATGTCATCATCCTCATACCACATATCCTTCGCTTACAACTTTGAGATGCTCTTTCCGTTTGGGGGTGAACCAACCTGATGACATAGAAACTGCAACTGGTATGTGAAGACGCAGCTCCAGTTTCCAGGGAAGGAGCTCACATGTTCACGCACATATTGAAAATGACCAGCTCTCTCAATTCAAAGCTGCTTGACTAAGCCGACCAAACTGAGAATGGCTCGATTGAATCGCCAGACTTCCATCTGTGTGCTCCAATGCTGAACAATACCACCTCCAGGATCAAGTACCATCCACAAGGCTTAGTCAACCCACTGGGCTTCAGGCAGACGGGAAGTACATCATGACCTCAGCCAATTTACTTGGTCGCGGCTTCCAGGGTTTTAACATGGCAGCCAAAACAATTTTGCCAAGATTGCACATGGTGAGTTATTGTAGAGACAGCTTTGTGCATCTCTGCAATTTCTCGCCCAGCCTTCCTGCAGGTTCTGCAGGATGAGATGATGGGTGCGTCCTACAGCGTGGATGTCTCCTCTTTCTCAGCGATTCTTGCTCCAGGCCACACAGAGTTGGTGCTTGTTCGGCTGGTCATGGCAAAATGTGCCAACGACAGGACAGGGATTGCATGGGCAGTGCCTGCAGCCAGTGCCGCTGAGAACCCGCGCTTTTGCACTTGTGCCATCCGGCAATGGCACTTCTTTCTTTTCCTCGAGCATCTGCTTGACCAGGTTTGTGGCGATACTGGTACCAGCCGCGTCTTTCAGCAACTCCACTGCTACTGGAACGCAAAGATGAGGGGCTGCAACACAGCTGATGACCAAGGCACCAACGTCAGTGACCGACACTTCCTTGCCACAAACGCACGCACCCCAGTTTTTGCAGAACTCGTCCCTTCCAGACCAGTCACAGCCAGAAGTGGAGATGTTGGAGTCAGCGGACGATGACAGAAATTCAGTCTCATTGCCTTGAGTAGACACTGTGGAGTTGAAGGAGATCTCATCCTTGGCAATCAGGACATCCCGCTTCGCAGCATGCAGCTGCTTCATCATCAACCCACAGTCTCCACCATCGGCTGCGCAAGCGTCCAGGACTGTTTCCACGTCGTCGGCACTCACGACAACCAAGAGAATCCAACGGATGAAATGCGGGAAGTTGAAAGCCATGGTCTGCGCAAAATGGCGATCCGTTCAACAATCACAGGGCAGTGCCGAAGCGGCCAGGTTTGAGCAATGGCTGCACCAATTGTTTGTTCCAAGAAAATGCAGAGAACCAAACAAAGCAACACATGACCAAACTGCCCAATCATTCATCTGTCTGGAACTGACATCTCCACTACGTCTTTCAAGGGGTTGTCTCTTGTCAGGTGAAGCTGGAGAACAACATGCCAGCCGTATTGTCCCATTCAAACCCAAGCTGCATTTCACTTGCAGTTTCAACCTGCCGGCCAACACGGCCGCTCAGATTTTGGCTTGAACCAGGCTTCGCCTGAAGCTGAGGTGCACCAGACCTTGGAAAATGTGAGCTACAGGTTCCTACCCCCAAGCATGTAACTTACGTTTTCGCACATCGTGCCCACAGTGCTGGTTGCAGCAGCATGTTTGCAACTGTGTAGCTAAAGTTGGCACGACTAGTTTGTAATCTGGTGCGACCACAGCCGCAGCCACATCGCATCTCCTTTAGCGTTAGTCATACCGGACCCTTGACGCAAAGCATTCCCAGAAAGAACCATTGAACTTGTGTGTCCTGGTATTTTTTGTCTTGTCTGTCAGTTATCATTTGACTAGGGGTCTTGCTTTGGTTCTCTGGTTGTCATGTTTTCCATGTTTTCTTCCACCCCCACTCCTCTCCCAAACACAGCTCATGATGCTGAATATGCAGGGCGTGTGCAGGGCCACACGGTGCGACGAGCGCAAGAGACTGCTAGGTTCCACGGGTCCACGCTGCCATTTATGCTATTTTGCGCATCGGGCAGGGCCAGAGAAGTAAGTAGCAGCCTCCACGGAGGGCTGGAGCTAATCAAGCCCAGGCCTTCAGCGATGTCTTGCAATTAAGGAAGAATTCGACGGTTCGAAAATAGTAAATAACCCTGTACGCGTTCTCATGTTCATCGTCCTTTTGACCGAGGTCAACGAATATGATTTTTTCCCGATGCGTAGCGAAGGGTTCTCGTTTGGCTCTGGGGGTCTGGGGGTAGAGCCTTGTTCGCGGCCCGTTGTTTCTATGTTCGCAGCCGTTCGCAACCGTCCGCAACCGTTCGCAGTAGAGCGCTAAGGCGCTGCCATTGGGGGAAGCTTTTGGAGAGGGTTTCGGATGAAAGCGTGACGTGTCAGATTCGTGTGAAATAGCGAGGAATCGTATGGGAATGTAAGACGTTGAAGTGTGAAGGATGATTTCACTGCGCAGGCGCAGCGTTTTGTGAGATCCGCAGTTTGCCAGTTTGCTGCACAGAGTGTCCCATAAGAGTGTCCCACAAGAGTGCCCTACAAGAGTGTCATTTGGACATATGTAGCTTTTCGAACGCGTTTGCATTCGGGTTCGTGGGCTCCATCTTGTTTAAAGCTTGGACACGAGCAGGCTCCACTACCACCGATTGACACGGAAGGGAAAGAACACAGTCTCTCATTGCGAAGCCAGCGGTTGTTTTCTGTGGGCTTGGGCCAAACAGGTCAATCACACGCATAAAGCGTGAGCCAGACAAGGGTTAAAGAAGCACAGGGAGCGGGTTAATGAGAGTTGTTCTTCTGATCAAAGTGCTTGCCCGTGCACCTGATCGACCGAAGCGGCCATTTTCACCATGGCGCAAACGAAGGTATGGCTCAGTGGCCCCAGCTTGGGCGTGAAACGCAAAAGGAGACAACTGCTATGGGCCTCAAGTCTCACACTGGTCTTTGTTCAACCAGCTGGGCCCATGGACTCTCGCGCCACTTCCTCAGGCTGGTCACGAGGCCGGCTTCGACCTTGGTGAGCCCGTCCGCATGCTGCAAGGTGGTAGGCAGCCAGCGGATGTCCTTGGGCGTGTACGGATCGTATCTGTACCATGGACCTCTGGTCGGTCGGTCGTGGCCGGGTTCTCGGCCACCAGGCAGTCGTAGAAGAGCCTCTCTTGGCGTCGGTGCACATGAGCGAGTTCAGCCTCACGTTACCCTCAAAGGCCGGCCGCTGGTAGAGGACCTCGACGAGGAAGAGGTTCAGGAAGGCGGCGCGGTCAGCGCCTTCGTCTGAGGCACAGGCCTCGGTGCCCAAGGTTGACCGGAGGATCCTTGGGCTTCTGCAGGATTGCCAATCCAGCAGCCAGGGCAGCCGTCGTGACTTGGGTCACTTCCCTGAGTCTCTTTTTGTAGTAAATTTAGTTTTTCGTTGATTTTAGTAAATTAGCACACTTTAGTTTAGTTGGCTACTAAGTTTCCAACTGAACTAAATTTTGGAGAAACAAGAAAACGACATAGAAACAGCATATAAATTGCAGAACATTTTCTAGAAATTTTTCCCAACATACATCAACCCTGTACAAAAACATTATAGTGAGCTGCCATAACTCATACTCTGTCACTCCTAGTGGGCTTTCTCACATGTCCCTTCAAAGATCTCTCAAGTAACTCAAGTACATGAGTAACAACATGAGACTTACTTGAGGAATATATGAGTCACTACCTACCTGAGACTTATTTCACAAATGTGAGAGTTACTGCATACAACTTATTGTATGTGAAGACATGTTGCAAATAGTTTGCATTTGAGAAGTGTTTGAGAAGTTTTTGAGAAGTCTTTGAGAAGTCTTTTTGAGAGACGTTTTGAAGTATTTGAAAAGAATCTGAGGTCTACGCGGTTCCATTTCCAACATGGAGAAGCGCAAAGCTCTCTTTGGTGAAGCAGGAGAAGGAGGAGAAGGAGGAACAGAACCAAGAGAGTCCTGGTGTGGCTGGAGTGGTGTCTGGTGACAACATGTCTGATGGCAAGCAGGAGGAGGAGGAGGAAGAGAAGGAGAGCATCATCAGGGAGAAGATCAACCATATTTGTTGCGTTTATGTACAAGATTTCTATGTTGCAACTGAGGCTTTAGTTCTGGGCTCATGGATTTGTTGTTCCAAGGCCATAGACTTGCAAAACATTGTGCCCTGCAGGAGATTGGACAATCACATGAGCCTCATGGAGAAGGTCATGAAGATGCAAAGCACCACTGGGAATAGACAAAATGTTTGGTGAAACTGTGTTTAGACAGTGTGTTTCTGGAGGGTGTGATTGAATTCTTGTGTTTGAGAAGTATTTGAGAAGCTTCATTGCTGAACTTTAATTGAGAAGGCCTATTTGCTGAACTTTAATTGAGAAGGCCTATACTTGAGAAACCTTATACTTGAGACACCTCATACTTGAGAAGGCATTGAGCTTTACTTGTGAAACCTCATACTTGAGAAACCTGATACTTGAGAAGGCATATACTTGAGAAACCTCATACTTGAGAAGGCAATGAGCTTTACTTGAGAAACCTCATACTTGAGATTTACTTGTGATTTTTTGCATCCACTTTATGTCATTAGGTAGTATGTTTGGTGGAAAGTTTGATGAAAATGTCTACGCAATTGCTATGCAGTTTATACGCAGTTCTTACGCAGTGTTGAAAATACATGTCTTTCTATTAAAAATGCATGTATTTTGTACAAACGACATGTATGTTCTAAAACTGCAAAAGAACTGCATACGAACTGCATAAGAAATGCATATAGACTGCGTATGAGTTTTACTTGAGATTTGATGTTTTTGAGTTTTATTAGAGCTTTTGATAACATTCTAACAAGGTTCTGATCAGGAGACATTGCTTTTGAGTTTTACCTGAGCCTTTGATAACAGTCTAATAAGATTCTATAGGGACCAGGAAACATCTTTTGAATCTTACTTGAGCTTATGATAACAGCCTAAAAAAGACTCTATTTTGATCAGTAGACATTACTTTTGAGTTTTACATGAGCTTTTGATAACAGCTTAAAAGAAATTATGATCAGGACACATCTTTTAAGTTTTACTTCAGCTTTTGATAACAGCCTGATAAGATTCTATTATGACCAGGAGCTAGTTTCCAGATCAAGGCATATAGCAAAGGCTGATTGATTTTCATTCGAAGAACCGAAGAACCCATGGCTGATCAACAAGGATTTGACTAGGCTTAGAGAATTGGTGGCCACTCCTGATGAGATTCATGAGGATGAACCAAAGGAGTCATGAAAAGGCCCAACGCTAAGACAGGAGTTAAGGCAAAACCTGTTCCAAAGCCCAAAGGGAAATCCAAGGCTGCACCAAAGAAGGTCATGAAAGCATGAAAGTATTGAAGAAGCCTGCAAGCCAGAAGGGTCAGGAGAAGGCAAAGAAGGAGCAGGCAAGGAAAAAGGAGGAGGAGGATAGAAAGAGGGATGAAGAGAAGAAGAAGGAGGAGGAAGAGAAGGTTCACAAGTAAGGTCACACAGACTCAAACAAAAAGGAAACTGTTCACAAGTAAGGCCACAAAGTCTCAAATAAACAAAAGTGTTCACGAGTAAGCCTCAAATAAGCTCAGGTAGTCTGGCAAGCAGATCTCATCAATTGTTATTTCATCCCTTGCAAAACTTACAATTCCAACTTCTCAAGTAAGCACAGGCCCTCAAAGTACAGGAACTTTACAGCGTGTCCTCAGTCAGAACTGCCAACAATGAGTGTTCAAGTACATACACTTCACAACAAAAATCATTTAGATTCCCAATGTTTCACATGAAATAAAACGCAACCATCCAAAAAAATAAAAGCCAAAATTTTCAAACATGTCATCAACAATCACTATTTTATAAACTCTCCAAAATGGACTTGGTATACTTAAAAAATTGCTTGGACTACTAAAATAATTTACTTGGACTACTAAATCTGTTTACTTGTGATACTAAAAAACTACTTTACTATTGACTAGAAAATTTGCGTGAATTTTATTGACTAAAACCCAAAATCTACGTCTACTAAATTTACTACAAAAAGAGACTCAGGGTTGTGGAGGGCAAATGGTGACCAACACTCTGTACTGCGACTTGAAGGAGTCACAGTTGGCCCAACTCGAGTCGGCGAAGGTCACGATGGTGGACGCCTTGTTCAAAGGCACTGCAGGGAACGTTATCCCTTCGCTTGCCGTGGCCTTGACATAGTCGAG